TATTACTCCTTTCAGTAATTCTTGAAGAGCTGGTCTAGTGTTGGTAAATTCTTTCAGTATTTATTTTAATCTGAAATAATTTTATTTATTCTTCTCATTTGAGGATAGTCTTGATGGATACAGTATTCTTGGTTGAAATTGTTTTTCTTTTAGTGTTTTGAATATGTCTGCTCATTTTTTCCTTACTTGCATTGTTTCAGTTGACAAGTCTGATGTCAGCCAAATAGGATAACCTTTGTAAGTAATTTGATGTTTCTCTCTTGCCATTTTTAGAATGCTATCTTTGTCTTTGATTTTTATCAACCTGGCCATAATGTGCCAGGGGGAAGATCTTCTTGTGTTAATTTTATCTGGTGTCCTTTGTATTTCCTGTGTCTGGATGTGTGAATATTTCTCTAGGTTTGGAAAAGTTTTCTGCAAGTATTTCTTAGAATAGATTTTCTTGCCCTTGGGAGCAGCAGTTAGCGTAATGGCTCTGTCGCTGGACTCCCATGTAGTTGACTGCAGTTCGAGTCCCGGACCCAGTGGCTTTAACTGACGCTGGATGCATGTGCATGCGTGCCCAAGATCCTGAAAGGAGAATGGAGGAGGAGGGATTGTGGTGTGACCAACAACCTCCCTCCCCCAGGGGGTTTGACTTCTCACTTTCTGTCTCTCTCTTTCTGGAGAGCATACGCACACACCCTATAAACAACAACAACAACAAACTCTCAAAAAAAAAAAAAGAGTAGATTTACTTGCCCTTACCACCCTTAGCAGTTTCTTTACCTTCCTGAATACTGATTATTCAGACATTCAGGTGTTTAATGGTATCTATTATTTTCTGTATGTTGTCTTTATTTTATTTTTTTATTTTTTAAATCATTTTTGGTAGATTTATCTAAGTCAGAGACTTTGTCTTCTAGATCATAGTTTCTATCTTCTGCATGTTTTAATTTGCTATTATACTTTAAATGGAGGGTTTTATTTCTTGTATTACAATCTTCATCTCTAGAAGTTCTGTTTGTTTCTATTTTATTTAATAAAGCATCACTTTAATAATGCTTTTAATCTTCATTTGTCTTTACTTTTTTTATAATTAACAAAGTTTACTTTTTACGAGCAGCTTGAGGTTCACAGCAAAATTGGGCAGAAAGGACAGATTTCCCATATAACCACACAGTCTCCCTTAGTATTTACATCTGTATTCTTTTAAGATTTTTGTGATAGGACATATGTGCTCAGCAGAGAGAGGGAAAGTGAGAAATCAGCCCCCAGGGGAATGGCCATGCCACAATTCCTTCTCCTCCATTTTCCCCTTGGGATTTTGGGCACACATCAGGACCTGCTGCTTTTTCCGGTGTCTACCCCTTTATGGAGTTCCTCTTTCAAGCTGTAGAATGATTTCCTCATCTCTTGGAGTTGGTTGTCTATTTTCTCCTGCATTTCATTTAGTTTAGTCACTATTAGTGTTATGAATTCTTTTTTGACATTTCTGCACATTCTTTTGGGCTGTCTATGATTAATCAGGACTTGTCGGGTTCCCTTGAGGGAGGGGTATTTCCTTGTTTTCTCATATTCCTTGTGCCTTTGTGCTGGTGTTTAGACATCTGATGAAGTACACACTTCTTCATACATTTTTTGGAGTAGATTCTGTAGCATTGGGGGGAGAACAACTCTTCTTCCCAGGTATGTTCTTGGTAATGGGCCACATCTTTCCATTAGAGTAGAGTATGTAGTCAGGTTCAGGTGTGTGATTCTCTCCCAGTCTCCCAAGACCAGATGCACTTAGGGTTTGAATGGATAGTCCAAATCTATGAGTAATCAGTTCAGAGTTGCTCTCCCTCTGCAGTTCTCCTGCTTGCTCCCTTCCTGCTCCAGTGAGTGGAACTCAAGAGTCAGGACCAGAGACAGGAAAAACAAAAACAAAAACAGAACACACAAACAAAAGACACTTGAGTAGTTGGAATGCACAATCAGGTAGTTAAGAGTTGCCTCCTTCTGCAGCTCTAGCACTTGCTCCCTCTTGCTCCAGTGGGTACAACTCAGAAAATCAATGGCAGGCATCAAGGACAAGAGAAATCCCACAGGTATTACAATCTGTTTTTTAAATTAATGAATTATTTTTACATTCAGTCACTGCATGTGTATCATTACAGCATACCAAATGAATTCTCCCATCATGAATACACTGTATATTGGTCTAGTCAAAGGTATTATCATACACATTATTATCAACAGATAATTTTCCATTTTTGTGTCTCATAAACATTTTGCTTCTTTCGTTTTTCCCTTATTTCTCCTCTTCTCATCTTCCTCCATTTCCCACCCTCCTCCCACACTGTTTCTAGAATTCATAGTTGCTCTCTATGCCTTTATACCTTCCACTCTTTCAGTTTCTGCCACAAAGTGCAGACATTTGGTGTATATCAAGTGGGGATATACAATACCTCTCTTTCATAGTTTTGCTTGCTTCACTTAGCAATTATTCATTCACTTTCTATCAAATGCCAGGGTCTCTTTTTTTTTTATGATGAGTAGTATTCCATAGTGTGTTGTATGCCACATTTTTCAATCCATTCAACTGTTTGCAGACATTTGGGTTGGCTTCATGTGTTAGGAATTGTAAATAATACCACAATAAACACTTGTACAAGTGTGTGGTCACACAAACATTAGAATTAGGATTCAAACATCTTTCTGAATTAAAAAACGAAGTTGCCTTTTTCCCCCTCTATAACATTTAAAATGCTATACTATGAAAAAGATGTATTTAAACATTACAGAATGAGGCCAAATTACTTTTTGGACCATTATACTTAATGACTGGGTAAGAAGGTGCTATATTCACAGAAGGATCATTCATCAGAGATGTATGATGACAAGAATCGTCTTTCCAACTGATATAGTCAGATTTCTAATATTCACTTCAACATGTCATTCACTGTGCTTCTATTATTATATGAACAATTAGAAGAGATTCTGATTTGATTTTCAAAGGTAAAAGTTTACTAAGTATAGGAAAATATAAGAAACAAGGTCAGCAATAGCAAATAGAGTGGTGTTCCTTTATGGTGCTCATATGGGAGAGTGGAAAGAAAGGAGCAGTCTGTTGGGAGTTGCCACAGAACACATTTTTACCTTCACTAATTTACACATGGGGGAAAAATCAGTATTCAACACAAGTGTGAAAAATTGGCACCTGAATTCTTACTGAGTTCTGTAAAACTGTGGACATGGCTGGTCAATTTTTCCACACACTCTAATCCTTCTGAAAACTGAAATATCACACTCCTGAGCATATCCTGGACCTTTTCTGCTTTCAATGCTCCTCTTCTTCCTTTCAATCAAATCAAACTCAATCAATGTTGAAGGCTTAGATCAAGTGAGAACTTTTTTCATGAAGGTTTACCTGACTTCTCCCTGCACACTAAGCAGATGGTAAATGCACCCAATTTTCAACATAACTTTTTTTTTTTTAAATTTTAGTGAGTATGTGTACTTGCCAGAGAAACAGAAACAGAGAGAGAGAGAAGGAAAAAGTAACTCCCAACAAGCTGTTGTCACACCACAATACCTTCTATGTCACTGCCCAATCCTATTAGGAAAAGAGGCATGCACAAACAAGTGCCTGCCATGTTTTTCAGGCCAGCTCACCATGGTTTGCCATGCGGGATCCAGCTCTCTTAACCATTAGGCTACAGGACTGGACTTCCACTTAATTATTTTTACAATCATTTATATACTATGTCATGACACTTTTTCACTTAAAATTAGTTTACGAATGAGTTATTTTTAAAAAACTTTGTAGTATAGTTATAATTTTCAATTATTTGAATAATGTAGAACAGTTAAATGAAAAATCCTTCAAATCATGACATAGTAGATGAAAGTTTATATCTTTTACTTTCTAGTTGTATTTAGAAGAAAATTGAAAAATGTCATTGTCTGGATGAGTGTCACTTATTCTTCTTTATACTTTACTCTGTTTCCAAGGGTTGATTATTAACTAACATATATATTTCTAGAAAATATTTGATAATCTGGCAAGTCACTAGAGATGGAAAACGCAATTTCACTAATTATGTCTCTACCACACACTAGTATTTCTAACATTCTCACCTGTTAATTTTCAACACAATCCTATAGGTTAGCTCATATTATTTCCTGTTTTAGAGATGCAGAAACTGGGACTTAGAGAGGTTACATATCAGTAAAATTCACATAACTGGACATTGAAAGTGTAAGAATTTAAGTCTAATCACAGAGTTCTTATTCCAAAGTTCAAGATTCATTTTTCTTATTTCATTTTGAAATATCAATTTATACAAATTGAATGTATAAAATACTTCAACTAAAATAATTATTGACATGGTTTCTATAATTATTAATGTATATGGATACTTTTCAATTTTTAAATCTAATTTTTATATGAGTCTAGTAAGAAAAAATCCATAGTTTTTAAATCATTAATATTCTAGTTATGAATTTTCTGATCTTTTGTTTCTTTACCATCTTTGATAGGCTTGAAGATTTCATGCCTCTTATATCTCTACTGACTACTGTTACAAGAGAAAATTCAAAGCAAACTCTATAAAGCATTCTAGCAGCAGTAAAAATAAAACTCTAGAAGTTCATAACTTCTTTTTCTTTCTTTTAATGACAGAAATTGTGTGCACATGCACAGGATAGAGAGAGAGAGTTGTCAATGGAGTCTCATCATGCCATAGTGCTCTTTCCCCAACCCTCTAACTCTGCGAAATCTTGGGCACCTGCATACCTGGTATGTCTTCATGTTGACCCAGGAATCCAAACCCATGAAGCTATTTTTTCTCTACATAAGGAGACAGAACTTATCCTAGAATTTCCAATTAATTTTACATACTACCATAAAATGTTATTCCCCCAGCTTTTTGTATACCTGACTTTTCTTAAAATGCTTTTTAATACTAAAAATAGGCTTAAAAATATCTTGGGAAGAAAAAAAAAATAGATACAGGAAGCTTAATGGTCAAACTTACTGAAGAGAAATGACTTCAGGTAACCACCCTGTGAGTGCGTGAATAACAGTGAACTCTCCCAGTTCTCTCCTTTGTGCCATATGGATGCTAAAAAAGAAAATGCATAAAACTGTAATTAACAAAATATTAAAACAGAGAGAGCTACAAGAGGTAGGAATCATTAATAAACAGCAATATAATATCAAATGTAGGGTTCATACTGGTCATACATTAAAGTATAAGAAAACGCTATCTTAATAGCCACATGATTTGCTTTGTTAAAACACTTACATAGAGCCAGAGAGATAAAGTTTCTATATGTTAGCAAAGCATGCATATAAACTTTATTAAGCTTTTAGAACCTCAAAAACTAGTATTAATGCCATATGCATAAAACATTTATATATGTATCATGAAATATATATATATAATCCATATTATAGATTAAATATGGCATTGCTATGACTTAGTAATTATTTTAAGATGGTTTTGAGGCTATAGTCAGTCTTGTCTGTAGAAGGCTAAGATGGTCATTGGAAATTCTTAGATAATTGCAGAGAATTTAGAAATCTATGTCCTATTTTGCACAGAAGAGCAGAGCTGCCAGCATAGCACAAAGTCAAATGAGGTTGTAATAAAGCAAACAGGATTACTATCATTTAGTCTTTTTTATACCTTGCCGGAGGTAATTATCTTTATACACAGAAAAGCTATATCCCTCTTCTGCCTGGGAGTCATGGCTTGAGCCACCATATGCCAATGGTGATATTGATGGTATTGACCAACATATGCCCTTTTCTTCAGAAAGAAATCTTACTATCTTGGCCACATATTTCATTAATTATGAATTTGTACTGATTTATCTATAGGGATGGTTTATAGTTTATTCTAAATTCCTGTTTGTACAATATAAATACATATATGAGGTAATTTTGTACACTCCATATAAATAATGTTATTTTCTTTACATATCTCACATTGATATTAAAATAATGACTAAATACTAATTTTCAGATGTAGAAAGCTAACCCTCGTGTACAAATAACAACTACATAGCCTATAAAATCTGTGATGGCTTTATAAGAAAATGTAAACTGTATTGGGTAGGGCAGGTTTCACCAGAACTTCTAAGATGTATATTATGCTTAGGTTCTTTGTTTTCAAGATGTATTTGTTTAGATTTCTGAACAATAATAACTCTACTATTCATGTGGCTATAGCATTCTGCTGAACTATGTCTTTAAGAGAGGTAAAATGCCACTCTAATTATCTAGGTCACATATTTAATGCATCACTGGCTTTATGGCTCTAATTCTTAGAACTTCAAGTTAGGTCTGAGAATGAAGAACATTAGAAAGATTATTTTTCTCTTTCCAAAAAACAAACATAACTACTACCAGTGTGAATATTGTACTTAGCTACCTAAAAAGATCTGGCTGGAATTTTTATAAAAATTATTGCAATTAAGAAATAAAAGCTGGGTGGGAACCAGCAGTTAGCATAATAGCTATGTCACTGGACTCCCACGTAGTCGACCACGGTTTGCGTCCCGGACCCGGTGGCTTAAAACTCACGCCGGGCGCGTGTGCGTGCGTGCCCAAGATCCCGAGAGGAGAATGGAGGAGAAGGAATTGCGGCATGACCATCCCCCCTCAGGGGGTGATTTCTCGCTTTCTCTCTCTATGTCTCTCTCTATCTGGTGAGCGCACGTGCCCTATAGGGAAAACCTCTCCAAAAAAAAAATAAAATAAAATAAAAAAATAAAAGCTGGGTAAAAGAAATTCCCAATAGAAAATCAAAGGGGAGTAAGAGAAAAGCGAAATGAAGAGGATTACAGTAGGAGTTGTTTTTATTTTATAGCCTTGGGAGAAAAAAAGAAGTTGAGCAAAAAGATTTATCTTCACAAAGCAGATCTGGCTTCTGACTTTGCTATGCTTGTAGACGGGAAGGGGGTGAGCTATGAGCAAATGACTGACATTTACAGCATGTGGCTGTGTTCTGTCGAATACCAAGTGGCCCTACACACTGCAGGAAACAGAGGTATATAATGACTGCATATGTTTGGAAGTAGAGGCTGAGAGACTAGAACATGGTAGACATATCTCATACATGTTGGTACACAAGTCATGTGTGAATATAAGACACAGCAAATTTTATAAAAAAATTGAAAGAAATATAAGTAGTTTTCATCATAAATGCATCAAAAGTGACAACTCTTTCCAAAAGCAATAAGGAATATATCTCCAGAAGAGTTCAGATTTTTTTAAGATTAGAAAGCTATTGTTGCCTGTATTGAGCCAAAAATCTTTAACTAGATTCCAGCACACATATTTACATATTTAGATGAAATATTTTCCTATATTATTTTTCCTTGGGGAAATTTTGTCTTTTGTTGGCTAACCCAACTTCAATGCAGTGGCTTTCACACATTTATATTTATATTAGGAAGTTTATATTGTTTGCAAAGAAAGCTTTCATTTAATTTGCTTTTAAATAAATGTATAAAATATGGAAGAATAGTTGTTGTTTGTATTTTTTTAGACAGGAAAGTAACAATTTCTCACTACATACTCAACATTTGCCAACTTAATAATCGCTTTAGACAAAAGCATTGGCCAGAGTTCAAATTCATAGGTTGTAGCTGGAAGCAATAGATTGTTATCTTCATCAAAAGGCAGAAAGTCATCAATAGTTATCTTTCTCCAGCAACCCTGAAAACAAGAAGAAAGAATATACCATTCAATGATTCCCGATATTTTCTTTGTTGACACCATTGTTTGCTATTTTATAATTTTGCTTTAGTATCCGTATTTAAATACTGAAATACTGATTTTCAATACTACTTTGAGCATTTTAGCTTATTTTAAATATAACTACAAGCACATTAATATCTATGTCAATACTATCCATATTTTCAAGGTCTTACAAACACTTTCTTAGGTTCTCTGTCCTACATAACGCACTAAATTAAAGTATTTCAAATGGCAGAACCGAAACATTATGCAACTATAGATAAGTTTGAGTATAATTAAATAAGTAATCAAAAAATACATTCTCCAAATATCACTTTAATGATTATTGCTTATCCTGATATGAGCTCAGTGATCTTACATGCCTCATTCCAATATTACTTCTACTGCTAATTAAAAATCTTTTTAAAACATGAAGCAAATTAATATTTTATTTAGTAAAGTCATTTATTATATTACTTCATAATTAAAAGCATGAAATAAATAACTTTAATGATTGTGAGCTTTAAGATTGCTTTTAAAAAAAAAAACAACTTTGGTTTTATATCCCAAGTTTCATTGCAAATTCAATGCTTTGCTAACAAATATTTTCAAAAGTAGCATCAGGCATTTTGAACCGAAAGATCTGCATAACCCATGGCTATACCATTGAATTATTTATAGTCTAGTGGCGGGAGAAGCATAGAACACAATATGTTTAAAGTCATGCTCTAAGACCTTCAAAGCATGATTAATTTTACTGGGGAAAGTCATCCCAGGAAAATGATATTTGAACTGAAGATTCAAGGAACAGCATATTTTTTCCCCAGGTAGACTGGAACAATGAGATGAAAAATGTTTTCTTTGTATGACATTTTTCCCCTGAATTTTGTATTGCTTTATTTGTATATTTATGTCTTTTATCTTTCTTTAGACAATATTTGGCAAAGCAGGTTAAAGCCACAAGTATTTAGCCATCCTCCCCTTTTAATTTTTAAAAATATTTTCCATAAGGCATATGTGTTCATGGAGAGAGAAAAAGAGGGAGAGAGAGAAAGTGAGAAAGTACTCCCCAATGGGCATAATCATACTGCAATTCCTTCTCCTCTCTTCTTCCCTTCAGGATCTTGGGCACATACGTGTACCTGGCATGTTTTTCAAGCCATTGGGTGGGGACTGAAACTGTGCAATCAGTCTTATGGGATCCAGCCACCTTAACCACTGGGCCAAGGCTAGTCCCTTTTTTTCTAATTTCAAATGAAATAACCAAGAAGAATACATGGAAAGATAAGTCAGATACAAAAGGACAAGCATTGTATGAAAACATCTAGAAAAGGCAAATTCATAGAAACCGAAAGAAGTTATTGGAGGTTGGGAACAGGGGAAAAAGAGAAGTTATTTTCTGATGGGTACAGCATTTCTGTTGTGATGATGCACATTCTGGAAATGGTAGTGATGGTTGCACAATACTGTCAAAAGTCTTAATGCCACTCAAGTGTATAATTAATGGTTAAAATATTATTTATTTAATTTGACCAGAGAGGGGGCAGAGAGAGAGAGAGAGAGAGAGAGAGAGAGAAAGTTGTAAGGTCCACGACTGAAGTTTCTATACTGAACTGTGGTCAGTCATGTTGGAGTCCAGCCCCCTCAACAATTACGCCACCTGCCGGCACCGATGTTTAAAATATTAAATGATACAATATGTATACTTTATCATAATAAAAATTTGCAATAGGTGTTACCTTCCTATACTTCAATATTAAAATAATTTCAGAAAAGGTTGTCTGGATTCTTATGAAAGAACTTTTTTAAGCACCCGGAGGAACTTAAATGAGACCAGGTCAGCAAATATCATTTGCTTCCAGATCATCAATGATAACATTTTTTAAATTAAGAATTGCCTCAATTACTAAACATTGCTAAACCATACACTTTAAATGAGTGAATTGTGTGATATGTTAATTGTGTCTCAATAAATCTGTTATAAAATTTGACTATATTTTCTTTATTTTTTAAATGATGAACCATATTGATATATTGGTTGGTTGCATCCTTAAATTTTATAAAGAAATCAAATATTTTTGTATCCCAGTCATGGTGGTACAGGCAATAGGGATGTTACTATTTGATGACAGAGATCATGTGAAAAGGTGCCAGGTTCATATCCCAGCTCTATCTCAACATGTCCAGGATTCTAGTCAGTCACAAGGCTGGAGGAAGGATCACAGAGTGAAGACCCTATAGATGGCACCTCTCTCTCTCTTTCTTTCTCTCTCGCTCTCTAGGTCCCTCTCTCTCTCATTGTATTTTACTCTCTCAAGGAGGAAATAAATTAACTTCAGAAACAAAGAAATGAAATAATATACATATACAAAGGGAATAGATGTTTTGGGGCAGTAGTAAAACATGATGCTCTTCAAAACAAGCCCACATGACAATGTTCCCAGTTCTTGAATATGCTAGGTACACACTTTCCAATGACCCAGGGCTAGTTGAAGACTGGAGGTGTTTTGCAGTGTTAAGACCCTATTGGAGTACTGTCTTTCTCTTTTTAGCTCATGGAAGAAACAATTAAATAAACTTTAAGAAAGTTACTCAAAAAGAGCACAAAAGTATTAGTTTATTTTGGTACAAAAAAATTGAAATCCATGTACTGTTTTTTCATAGTATCTATTTATCCACAAACTTTTTGAAGACCATGTGTGTGCATGTGTGTGTGTGTGTGTGTATTGATGGATAATGCTTGTTTCCTCAAAAATTTATATGTTGAAATCTTAATACTTAATGTGATGGTCACAGAAGGTAGGACCTGTAGAAGTAATTGTAATTAAGTCATGAGGGTAGAGCCTTTGTGAATAAGATTTGTACTCTTATAAAGGGATTGACAAGATCAGAATTCTTTCCTCTGCTACCTGAAGTTACAGTGAGAAGGTTGCTGCTCATTATGAACCAGAAGACAGGACATGACTAGACACCAAATATGCAAGTTCTTTGATCTTGAACCTCTCGGCCTCCAGGGCTATGAGAAATTAATTTCTGTTGTATACAACAGAAATTCTTAGTCTATTCTGTTATAGCAACCAGAATGGTTTAAGATGTGTGTGTGTGTGTGTGTGTGTGTGTGTGTGTGTGTGTGTGTGAATATACACTGATATATGTAAGAAGTCTTTGAAAAGTTCATGGGAATGCATATTATAAGAAGAAAAATGCCTAGATTTTTTTAAAAATTGCAACTAAATAAATCTGTATTTTCATTCCATTTTTAAAGAAACTCTTAAAATTCCCTTCTGTATTTGTTTGTGTATTTGTTTATATGATTTGAGACCTCTTCAAACACTGAACTATTTTTGCATTTGGTAGTTTTTCATTACAGCATATAAATGATGTATTGAACTGTTTTTATTGTTCACTGTGTTAGCATCACATTATTTTAAAGAACTATCAAAATGTTTACTTATTAAAAATGCTTATGAGGAAGGATGCTCTTTTGTTAATGTAAATATAAATTACTACAATAATTTAGAATACAGCCATGTTCAGATTTGAATATTAGGTCATTGGCAAAGTCATGATGTTTTTCTATGGAAAAATGTGTCATGACTTTCCCTCTACAACCCAATATTTTCCACACTGGAATTCCAGATCAAGATAACTAAATGATCACATATATCTATACGTTCTTTTTATATGAGCATGATGAAAGGATGATGCCATCTTTTTTTAAAGTTAACTGTATAAATCACAATTACAAAAAGGAAGAAATAAGTGATAGGTTGATGGAGATTTCAGCAAATATTTGAATGATCAAAACTATACTGAAGGGGAACCAGCGGTTGGCGTAATGGCTGTGTTGCTGCACTCCCACGTGGTCGACCGTGGTTCGTGTCCTGGACCCGGTGGCTTGAAACTCACGCCGGGCACGTGTGCGTGCGTGCCCACGATCCTGAGAGGAGAATGGAGGAGAAGGGATTGCGGCATGACCATCCCCCCTGGGGGGTGATTTCTCGCTTTCTGTCTCTATGTCTCCCTCTGTCTGTCTGTACTTAGCGAAAACCTCTAAAAAAAAAAAAAAAACTATACTGATGGAATGGAAGTCTGAATCACTTCCCCACCTCCACTACTGCAGGAATAGCGTAGAACTCCTCCCGTGAAGGCCTGAGGGTGGAGCTCTGACTACCATACCCACCTAGAAGCAACCAAGGCACTTACTGTCCTCAAAGGAGTCAATGGACACAACCATCGCCATCATCTCACTCTTACAACAAAGAGGAGGTGTCTTGCCCTAGGTTACACTGTTGGAGGAAGTATTTTCAACCCATTTCTCTGCACTAATGTAATGGCACACCTTCCACCCCTTGGCCAGGTCTCAGTGGACTGTGGGACAAAGTCTTATCATCTGGGTAGCAAACATCAGTGGCAGGCCAGAATAGAGCAGAGATTTATAAGCTAAGATGCAGCCCACACACAAGTGAGCCAAACGACAGAGCAACTGGAATTAGGAAATAAAAAATTTAAAGCAACTGTCATAAAGATACCACAACAGACAATTATGAACACTCTTAAAACAAATTAAAAAGCAGTAAATCTCAGAAAAGAAATGGAATATAAAAAAGAGGAAATATGGAAAACTTAACTTAAAGCTAAACTACAAAACAATGCTCTCTGGATGAGATAAATAGCAGAATGCAGATCGCATAAAAATTAGTGAACTGAAAATTAGGTCAATAGAAATTACAAGCGATATGGAAAAACAGGTTTAGAAAAATGGTATGATGGGGCCAGATCATGATGCAAAGATAATGCAATGCTTTGCAATGCTAGACCGTCATAGAGGCGCTGGATTTGAGTCCCAAAGTCACCTGTGCATACTGGGCCTGGGTGCCTGTGACCCAGGGCTGGCTGAAGCTGGAGGTGGATTGTAGTATGAGGACCCTTCTTGAGGATATCTCTTTTTTTCTCTCTCCTGCCTCTCTCTCATAAAA